CAGATATAGAATTTATTATTATTATAAGATTAATAAAAAATATAATTAATAAAGTAAAACTTATCCTTTATAACTAATAATGCTATTCAAAACTATTTTAACGTGTAGCTTAAAAATTGAGAAACTGTTTTAAAACCTTTAAAATGACTTTTTTAAATCTAAAACTTAATGAAACTTAATTGAGTTTAGAAAAACCTATTAGAAGTTTAGGTAAAGATATTTATAATAAATAAATAGTTTTATCTCAACTATTATAAAACTCAAATATTCTAAAAATAGTTTAGAGTGTATCTTTATTCACAACCCTTTAACCTGTTTATAAATTTATATTATTTATTAACTTTATGTAATATTATATTGATTTATTATAATGACTTAATGTATAACACTAAAATGTAATCTCTGAAGTTACTGTATTTAAATTAAGAATAACCTTTAATAATACTGTGAATTCTTACATGTAATATTTTAAGTTTAGCCATAAATTTATTTATTTTAGTAACATTAATTTGAGTTATAAATCAGGTATAATAGCATTTCTAGAAATTAAAGCAACTGATTCAGATTGTTTGTTACTTTTAAGATTAAAGTAAAAGGTATATTTTTAGTCTAATATTGTGTTTATTTTTAGAATTATTTTTTGTTTATATTTTTAAAAAAATCTCATTCAAAAACAAAATTTTTGTTGGAAAAGTAACAATAAAACTAACTAATAGAGTTGAAATATATTAATAAAATTTTTGAGTAAAGTTTTTTTATTTTTTAAAAAATTTTTGTTTTCAAATATTTTTTTGGATGAAGTAAAAAAAAGTTTTTTTCTAAGAGGAATAAATCATTATAAATATATAGAATTGTGATACAAAATTATTAAATATGTTGTTAAGATTAAATTATTCATCATTAAGTTAACAAAGATTATTTGCTAGCAGAAAGTTTAAATACATTAAAGTATGAAAGAAATAAATATAAATACAGTCATACCTCTCTATAGCGAATTTTTATATAACGAAATTTTTGGACAACTATATTAAATTTACCCTCGTTATAACGAACTAGCCAATCAAATTCTTTAAAAAATTCACTATAGCTCTATAGCGAAGTTGAAGTTCAGGACATAAAATTCGTTATATCAAGGGTTGACTGTAATTAAATTAAAGGGTCAGATCATCTTTATCAATATAGATTTAAAGAAAAATTAATTATTTTACGAGTAAAGATAAGTTTTAGAGATAAATGTTATTGATTTATTAAAGAATTATAGTGACTTTGCCCTTTTATCAAAGCAGAAATACAAGATATTTATATAAAATACATCAATAGTAAATAGATAATAGAGAAATATAAGAAATATAAGAAATGAAATAAATATAAGAAATTAAATATATTAGAGAAATGTGAAAAATTAGAGATTGCTAAGATATTATAGAAATGAAAGAAATTAGAAAAATAACAGAAATTAGAGAAATTAGAAAAAGTTAATATCTGTGATTGTCAAGATTATTATTTGCTAATTGTAAGTGATGCAGTACTAATGCGTCATAACTAGACTATCATTAATAATGTATTTTATAAAAAATACATCATTTCTTTATTTGGATTGCTTATACAATTACCTAATATATTCATTCTTAAAGAAAATATCACAAATTACCTCCAATTTACTTATATTAATATATTACTAATAAAGTAAAATAAAAAAGTTACAAAACTACCAAAAATTACCATTAATTTTCTTATCTTAATATATTTCTAAAAAAAAAAACAAAGAAAAATAAAGAAAATAATTAAAAACCATTCAAATCATTTTAAAAGGCTTATTAAAGAGAGTTTTTCTAAAAAAAAAAAATAAAGTAAAACAAAGAAAAAAAGGTTAAAACTATCTAAAAATTATTTTTGAAAACTTACTTTAATTTTAAAAAGATTTTTTTTAAAATATAAAAAAAATTAAAGAAAATAAATGTTAAATACCATTTAAAAATTATCTTTTAAAAGTTTAATTAGTTTTAAAAAAAAAATTTTCCTAAAAAAAAAAAATAGATAAAAAAAATCATTCAAATTTATTTTAAAAGATTTACTTTAGTTTCAAAAAGAAAATTATCCTAAAAAGCAAAGAAAAAATAAAGAAAAAAGAATTAAAAATTATTTAAAATTTTTTATTTACTTATCTTAATTCCAAAATAAGAATTTTCTAAAAAAAATATCAAAAAGTTGTGATTTGTTATATTAATTGCAAAATAAAGAAAAAGTTAAAAAATTTACTTTTAAATTGTTGCCTTAATTTTAAAATGAGAATTTTTCTAAAAAAAAAAAAATAAAAAAAAAGAAATGAGATAAAAAATTCATTAAAGATCAACATTTGTTTAAAAAAAAAAAAAATAAATAAAATTTTTCAGAAAAATATGAAGTTATAATATAAACTGAAATTTATTTATGGCTAATTTCATGATTCATGTACCATTAATAATTTTTCAGTTATATTCAATCACAATATTTTATAATAATAAGGTTGCTAGGTGAAATAAAGAGTTTAGACAGACATCTAAATGGTAAAGGTAAAACTTGGTTAAATTATATTAAAATCTTATTAAAAAATCTGCGAAATTCAGAAAATGTAAAACTATATCAAAGCTTATAAAAATGGCAAAACTATATCAAACACTTAGTAACAATTTAGAGAAAATAAAGGTTTAACTGTTTAGCCAAATCCAAAATAAGTTTATACAAGCAATCTTATATAGTAATTTTATTAAAAATATTTTCAGTTGCATTTAGTTACAATTTATTAGTAATCTATGAATTATGAAATTATCTATAAGAATAATTCATTATATTATAAATATTATAAACAGATAATTTTTATCATTTAATTATAATGATAATAAAATTATTCAAAAAAAATGATAGTAATTATTTCTTATGATTAATAATAATATTATTCAAAAGAAATGATAGTTTATTAGTTACTTATAAATAATAATTAAATCATTTAAAAGGAGTGATATTTTAATTCTTTTTTAAGAGTAATTATAAGATCATTATTTCAGAATAATATAATTAATTATTCTGTAAAAATAATAAAAAAATTATTCTAAAGGAATGATAATGTATCATCACTTAAAAATGACAATACTTACATTCTTTTAGAATAATAATTAAATCATTTCGATAATGTATTATTTCAAAAGAATGATAAAAAATAATGTTTTTTAGAATGTTGATATATTATTTTTAAGATTAATGAAAAATAATCATTTTTTAGAAAGAATAATAAAAACATTATTTTTCAAATAATTATATCATTTCTTTTAAGATGATTTTGATGATTTTATTATTTCTTTAGAGACAATTATATTGTTTTTTTTTATAATAATTTTTATCATTTTTTAAAAATAAATTTTCATTCCTTTTAAGATAATTATATCATTTCTTTGAAAATTATTATATCATTTTTTTGGAAAGATTACCTTAATTTGATTAGAATATTATAATTTTCTCAAAAATCAGCTTAATTAATTTTAACTAGTATGATACAATCTATTTATTACTAAATTTTGAGTTTTACTAAGATTTTGTCAAATATTATAACTGAAAAGCCTTAATACTGAAATAATACTAAATTATATATAGTATAACAAATTATTATCGATTTTTGTAATTTAAGCTAAATTTTTGTCAAATCATATAACTGAATCAGCTAAATATTACTGAAATATATTAGTATTAAAAGAAATGATTTTAACTAGTATTAATTTTCGTACTTTTTTATTTAATTACTTCTTGTAAATTTTATCCAATAATTATTCAAATTTATTAAAATTAATATTGTATTTATTTATATTAAAAATAAAGTTATATGTAAAATTTTAGTATATATTATTATATAAGGTTTTCGTTGAAACTAATTTATATATAAAATACATTGTTAATAGCAATTTTAATATGTGATAAAAATAAGAAAATAATTGGTAAAATATGATAATTTGAAGTATGTTCATTTTGCTTATGTAAAGTTACTTTTATAATAATAATCATTAATGATATTATTTAAAATTTGTTTTAATATGTAGCTTAAAAATTTGGAAATTTTATAAAATCCTAAAATGATTTTTTTTTAAATCGTAAAATAATTAAATTTAATTGAATTTAGAAAAACTTATTAGAAGTTTAGATAAATTAATAGTTTAATCTTAAATATTTCAAAACTTAAATTTTTAAAAATAGTTTAAGTTTAGAAATTATAATAATTAATTTTTAATAAAAATTTAAATAATATAAAAGTATATTAATTGTAAAAATCTAATCAACTAAATTTTTTTTAATATAAAAAATATTTATATAATATTAGTAATTTATTTACTAATTATATTTATTGCAAAAATGTTTAATTATATAATAAGTCTTATTAATAATATAATAATTATTTAGAATTTATAAAAAAATATATAGTATTTAAATAAATAATTTGATATATTAATCTTCTTTATAAACTTCATTTATTTTAAATAAAATTAATTAAATTTTATCAATATATATGATATATAATATAATATGGGTTAGTACGTACAAAAATCAGGTTTTAATCATATGATTTATATAGTCCTGCAGCATGATTTTCGTACGTACTAACCCATATATATTTAAATTATTTATTTAATAATTCTATGAAATTATTATATTTTCTATATAATGAAAATTAAAATAATTAAAAATTAAAGTTTTTTATAATTATTAATTTTATAAATATTAAAATAATTACCAATACTTTCACTAATTTGAGTATTTTTAATATCTAGGGCTAAAATTAATTTTTTAGTAAAACTAAATAAACGACTTGTATAATATGCTTGTGAATGAAGTTTAATACTCATATTAAATGAAATAACATTATGATTTTTTTTTGAATCTGCTTTATAAAATTCAATAATATCATTTTTTTAATTTTTTATCAAAGTATTTAATTCTAATATTCTCATACCAATTTTTAATAATATTACTAATTTCTAGTATAGTTGGTCTTTTTAATAGATCTATATCCCAACATTTTTTCATTAAATTTATATAACATTGTGGAATCTGTAAAATCTTTTTATTAAATTTCAGACGTTTACCTTTACAGATATTTAAAGCAAGCTGAAAATCATGAGCTTTATTTTCAAATGGTGGAACTCCAGATATAAATTCCCACATAATTATAGAAAAACTATATATATCACTAGCAAAATTATAAGGTTGACCTCTTAAAACTTCAGGTGTTATAAATGGTAAAACATCATAAATAACATTTTTTTGAGATGATTGAAAATATTCTACAGATTTACATAATCCTAAATCACTAATAGATAAAATATTTTTTTTTAATATTTAAAATATTACCATGATGAAAGTCACAATGAATTAGATTTTTTTGATGTATTTCATTTAATCTACTAATAATATTATATATTTTATATAATTTAATTATCCATCTATCTTTGACTATGTTTGATAAATTTTTTCTTAAATTACTATTTTCTGCATAATTCATTATTACCATATAATTTAAAGTATCTGGATCTTGAGTAAATCCATATAATTGAATAAGGTTTCCATTTGAATATGTTTTTAATTGACTGTAACATTTATAATGATTTTTCCACTAAAAAATGACAGAAAATTTGAAATTAATTATTATTTAATTTTTTAAATAATTACACGATAAAATGATATTGCAAGGAAATATGGTTTGCAAAATAATTATCTAATACTCGATTAGCTTAAACGTGAGTGATATCTACAATCGACGCAAGATACTTATCATCTAATGGCTGGTAAAATATTAAAACTACTCAAAATAACTATTGATATATTATCATCATATGGTAAACAAAGATTTATTAATGTTTAGAAGTCTTTTAAATATCCTTATCAATGGTCAAAGCTTTCAAATCCGATTAGCCATATTGAAAGTTTCATGATGTTAGATTTTCTTAGATTAGGAATGATAATGCCATTTATATTAAACTGAACTCTGACAGTTGACTGTTTAAAACCATTAGAATTAATAAAGCTTTAAGATCGAATAGATTTACATCATAATCAAGTTACTAATATGTTAATTAAATGCTAGTCAATTATAGCAAAATGCTCTCAGATAGCATTTAAGTTATCGTTAATGAATAAGGACTATGAAGATCTTGAAACTTTTATGAAAAAGAGCAAGAATTATTAACTTGAGTAGGTGTTGCTTTATGTTTTTCTTCATCTTATTATTTGCTAACTGAATTAAGAAAAATATAATAGTCATTTGACGATTTTGTAGGTCTATCTAATCTTTATGCTAGTTATCATTTACTACAGCATGTAAGAACTTTTGGAACCCTTGTAAATACTGAATGTGGTATAAAAGAGATAGTTTATTGTATTTTTAAAAATATAGTTTCACATACTAATCGAAAGAATATTGAATTAGACTTACCTTCTAAAGTATTATACTACTCTACAATCTATTCATCATCTAACAGATGGTGGAATCAATATTAGAAACTTATAATCTTGCACAGAATTTATTAACATATTCTATAATGTTAACCATTTGTTTAAGGATTGGTTTATTGTTAAGGAATCATTAGATTTAGATGATGAAGATTCAGAATGTATTAATAATCTATGGAGTTGAAATAACAATGAATTTTAACTTATGCTAATAGTGCTTTTACAGTTTTCTCACAATCTAGCTATATCTGAAATAAAAACTAAAAAAGCCAATAATAGCTCACAATATATAATCAGAACTACCAAAATAACTATATTTTGTAACTGACTTAGCTTTAGCTTATAAAAGCTTTGGACATTACACATTACTAATCAACAAACCTTGTAAGTTTTATGAATATGCATCTTACATACAAGATGACAATTATACTGGTAAAATTAAGTGTAGTCTACACAAAAACAATATGGTAATGATTAAGTGCAAGACTTTGAGTATAAGGGTAATGATAATATTATCCGCTTATATATGTCAACTGGTTTGAAGATGTTCATCAAAATTGTGATAAATTAGGATGTTGTTAGCTGGAGGGCTGGAAATAAAACTTAGATGATATAAATCAGTCTGTCGAATTAATCACAATAACTTTATCACAATCATGCCTGTATGAAAACATGGCAAAAAATAATATTAAATGAATAACAAATATCTTTATTGAACTCTTGGTTTATTCACAAAACCCTATCTCGAGTTATCTTTCAACTCAAG